AGCTTTTCTCGCCCGGAGTACACGGCCGGCGGGACCACAAGGTCCCGAAGTCCGTGTACTCCGGGGCAGCCCCGTTCGTAACTGCGTAAGTCGGGGACTGCCTGTACAGCAGTTTATATATTTGGTTAAGTCACAGGTTAGAAAGAGTGGAGCTGGCTGGCTTATGGGGGGAAAATCACAAATAATTATCCGTTGAAAAGACTGTCAAAATCTGTACTGAATTTTCAGTGAATTCAAGTATTTATGATAGAAAAAAAAGAATGCAATTTGTTATATAAAGTTTCTTAGTCAGTTGCATATGGCCTATCTTTTTTCCAAGCAATATTCGTAGGACAGGACAGCATTAGGTATTATTCTCTTCTCCCTTCCTGTGATGTAAAATGGGTGTAATTCCCTTGATACTATGGGGCTATTCCGGTGTAAAATAGTTGTGAGAGGAGAATCAGGTCTGACATTTGCAAGAGGAGGTTTGGTGCAAGCAGGTATTGAATGGGGAGAATGTTGGCCCCATGCCACAAATAAATGGCCATCCTAGATTCTCTTCAGGGGCATGATCTTGGGCAAACTTGGATTTATGTTGCTATGTGTTTGCAGATCATTCCTCTAGATTTGTCAGTGAAAGCCAGAGTATCTGTTCCAAAGAGTTTCTGGTTTGACTTGGAGTGGTGGAAGAATTTTTCTATGGTATTTGCTTGTCCCTACTGTCATGCTCTCAAGTATGAACGACTTGCATGTAAACCAAGGAACGGAGAGCTGCAACTTCTCTGTATTAGACATATCCTATCAGTCTTGCTGCCCCATTTCCTGAAGAGTTGAATCTGAAACTCAAAAAACCCAGTTTCTAAACAGTACGGCTATATCTACACTTGCCCCTTTTCCGGAAGGGGCATGTTAATTTCAGAGATAGCAATAGGGAAATCCGCGGGGGATTCAAAGTAGGAATAAGATCCTCTGGAAAAGGGCGCTTTTTCCGGAGGATCGGGGCCAGTGTAGACGCTCTTTTCTGGCTTTTCTAAAAGCCGGAAAAAAGCGGCGGACATTTTTATTTAAATGCCGCGGGGGATATTTAAATCCCCCGCGGATTTCCCTATTGCGATCTCTGAAATTAACATGCCCCTTCCGGAAAAGGGGCCAATGTAGACGAGCCCTACATATTTAAACTAGGTTTATATAATGTCGACAGACTTTACCAAACTATTTAGTTATATGCTGTGCATGAGTGTTTCCCAGGTATTATTCAATATATATGAATGGGACAGTACCAGTTCTTTCCCTGCATCTGCCATTCCTCACTCTTCATGCATTTTTATACTTCTTCTTAGCTAGTATATTTAATATTAAACCACTCATCTTTTTCATCATAGCTGTCACTTAAACTGGTTGTAGGCATGTAAAATTTGAAATAATTATAAGGCTTTCTGGTTCCCACTCTGTCTTGGACCAGGTCTACACTGGGGGAAAAGGTGGACGTCAGATACACAACTCCAGCTATGAGAATAGCGTAGCTGGAGCTGATATACCTTAAGTTGAATTTCTGTGGCATCCCGATCAACTTTCCTTATTCCTCATGACCCACAGGACCTTACTAGACCTGGTAAATCAAACCGTGGGAGATCAATCTCCTGAGTAAGTGTAGACCTGACCTTGAGTTCTTCTGGGCCCCTCAATATCATAGTACCTGAGCATCTTCATTGTATCTCCTCACAGTGCCCCCCTGAGGCAGGGCAGCAGTGATGTGCTCATTCAGTAGATGGGGACCTGAGGCACTGACTGACAAATAACTTGCCCAAGGTATCACAGGAAATGAAGCTCTAACTTGAACCTGGTTCTCCCGAATCCAAGACTAGCCCTGTAAACACTGTGTCATGCTTCCTGGTCACACCAGCAGGATATCCCACTGAGCTTGGAAAATGATGATGTAGTACATTTGGTCATTTCTTTGCTACTTAAAACAGATACACATCCTATTCCTTTGAAAGTTCATTTTGAGATATGCTTGGCACACAGGAGGCAATAGGAAAGCTGTATAATATGAGAGCTGTTTGTTGGATGGAACTGTATTGTAGTAAGATGTAGGCAGGACATCAGAGCAGGGTGACTAATGCTTTTCCAGGCAGCTGATTGTTTTTACTTCTGTCACTTACCCAGCCGGCTCTGCTGTAGCACTGGCTGGCTGAGAGGTGGCAGATGTCATAGCCTAGTTCCACGTACAGTGACCAAGAACACTGAAGTGTGATAAAACTTTGCACCTTTTCTTTCTTTTGTCTGCTGAGGTCCGCGGGTCCATTACAATGGATATTTTGGTCTGCTTGCAGCGTGGGGGCAGAACCAGACCTCTGGTGTCAGTCACTGGCAGCGATGTAATGCCCTGCCCCCAGGAGCTCCCTGCAGTTGTGACTGCCTCCCTGGCGGCTCCCCCAGCCATTTGTGCTGCAGAACTTTCCAAAGAGAAAGTCAATCTTTTATTTCAGTGACAGAGAGTTTGGCTCAGCCATGTCTCCTTGCCAGCCAGATCCCAGGACTGCATTTGACTTTTAGGGAGATTTGTTCCCCTCAGCTTCACTTGTGAAGTGTTTGCTGCAGCTGAGGCCCTGCCAACTTCTGAGATGGCTCCCCAGAGCTAAACCAGGAAAAGCCAAAGGCGAAAGCAAACAGAGGTGGACATTGGCATCCAAAGAAGAGGGGTTGTCCCGCTAAAGAGAAGGTCTCCTCTCCTGCAGCTGGAGAAATCATGGTGCTTTTTCCTCACAGTCTAGTTAACATAATCTGTTATTCAGGGTAAGGATGTTAAGAGGCGGGTAACTGGGTAATTGTGTAGTCGATACAGTTTGACTACTACGATTGGTCAGTAAGGGAAGGCGCTCCAAAGGAGCTACCCCTGCTGCCGCTCTGCAGTTTAAATGTAGTAAGAGCCAGCACAGGCTTATCAGGTAGTTGACTAATCGACTACTCTTTTACATCTCTAACTCAGGGAAGTAGAATTAAATTAGTCAGGTTGAGGGAGCTCCCTCAATGGTGGAAACTTCGGGGGTGGGCAGGGAGGGAGAGAATTCCCCTGTAGCTAGGGTCTGACAAGTCTTATTCTGCCCCCAAACCTCAAGCAGGCCAAAATACCCGTGATAATGGAGCTGTGGACTAGGGTTGTAAAATCCCATTAAAAATGTTAACTGGCTAACGTGTATGTTTAAGTGGTTAACCAGCCCGCTGTGTCACGCTGCAGACAGGAGGCTGCCTATCCGTAGTGCAGCACAGTGGGCCCAGCCGGGATGCTCAGTCTTTAAGTCAGCACAGTGCCAATGATGGGAAAGTCCAGACATGTCTCTAGGCAGCAAGAGCACGATGCCCTTAAAACAGGAGCAGTGTACTCCCAAAAATGGCCTCACTGTTGACATTTACTTTGTACTTTATACTTTTTCAGATAAACCGAGAAAGCTGGTGCTCTATAGAGCCATGTTCAGATCCTTCACTGCTGGAGCCGACGCAAGCTCATGAATCTAGAGGTAAGTAGAATGCTGTGCACCCAAACCCTTCATTCAAGGAACTGACACCCCAGTCTCTTTCCACCTTCTACCATGGGATTATCCTTTTCCCTCTTGTCTTTTCCCATCCCCATAAAAATGACATGCATAAATGGGAGAAAAGAGCACATGAAAGTATTAGGCTTTGGTCTAGTGTTATATGACTGGTACTGAACACATTCAGCCACATAGCCCATCTTCTCATGATGCAATTCCAGGTTAAAATGTTGTTTAAATGTTGTATAAATGTTGCTAATTTGATTCATAAATAAAATAGAGAGGTGCATGGGTATACAGATTATAGCTGAGACTTTAAAATAAATGCCTCAAATTAGGCTCCTAAATCTGTAAATGAGGATATGTCTACACTACAGCGCTAATTCGAACTAACGGATCCAGACTAAAAAACTGGTTTGAATTAGCGTTTTGCTAATTCGAACTAGCATGTCCACATTAAGTGGACCCAGAACCGGGGTTAAGGATGGCCGGAAGCAGTGCCGGCAGGGCATCAGATGAGGACTTAGAGCGTGGAGCTGCTGCCTCAGGCTAGCCGAGGGCTGCGCTTAAAGGGACCCGACCCCCACCCCGGACAGACAGTTCTCAGGGGTGCCCCGCTTGCAAAGCAGTCCTGGCTTGGAGTGCCCTGAGTGCCCACACTGGGCACATCACAGCACTCGGCCATCAGACCGGCTGCACTTGCTGCAGGCTGCCATCTGGGGAGAGGGGGCAATTGGGGGGCTGCAGGAGAGCTTCCACCCCCA